GACACAAACAAAGGATGAGGGATGAGCCTGTACAGCTGAAAGTAACTGTGATGCAATATTCTATCATCCTCTACACATGCCAATCTGATGCAATCTGTAAGAAATATTTTCGTTTACTTTGGTCATTTGAATGGCATTTGCAGTTTTGTGGCTGATGTCCTCTTGTTTCAACACTGGTGTAATAGGATTTGTGACCAAAAAAAAAGCAGCCCGTCATTCAGTTTCAGAGGGCAGAAGTAGTTTTGGGGTATTTTTGCTTGAAAAATCATTTAAAAAGTTATCAAAATAGATGACAATTGATTTTCTATTTTGAACAGTTGGTTAATCTAGTAACTATTTCAGCTCTTCTACCTTTCAAATACCATCCAGGGAAGCTATGTTGACTGAGAGAATTAAGTAAAAATTCTAAAAATCAGCGTGTTTGGTAATAATAAGAGATGGCAGCAGCTCAGGGAACAACAGAGAGGTAATGATCTGAATGTTATGTCCGAGCCACTCACATGTCAGTCGTCAGATTCTCTCGTAAGTGTTTGAACTTTCAAGTGGAGAGCTTTGATTTATCCCGTCAGACATCTCCCCCAGGCGTTGTTCCTATTGGATGCACTTCTGAAGTCTTGAACACGTCTTTAGACATGTCAATACCTTCTTATAAATGGTGCAATTAAGTGCAGTTAATCACGTCGGCTTGACCGTTTCAAAACTCAATATTTGTTTTTTTATTTTAAAATGTGACAGCTTTAATTGTTTGTTTCTTATCACATAAATGTACATAAAACATTCAAAACTTATCAAAAAGAATGCAGCGATAAAGATCTAATCAGAGCCTCTCATCACATTTTATTTGTCTAAGTTGTTAACAGGTCCACTTGAGATTGATGTTCCCTCAAAACATCTCAAACACCTGTCTGAAGCTGTCTTAGTTTTTCTCCCATTAATCACATCACAACCACTTAAACTCATATTGTGAACATTTTTTAGGGGCCTGCTCATTCGTTGATGCATCCGTGATTTCGGGGGGATTTTCTGCAAAGGTTACTTTTAGGTATAAAACAGATGTACTTTTGCTTAAGTACAGCATTTTCTCATTTATGTAGTTACTTTTACTTGAGGATCTGGGTACAGTTTCCATCGCTGCTTACGAATAAGTCAGACATTTCTAGACATGTTAGACAAAACTCATCAGCTCTTGATAAACCACACACAGGATGAGTGGTGTCCATGTGCTGCAGTACACTGACTGGGCTGATGGGGGAGCTAAACTCTGAAAGTAAGTCTTCCATAAAACACATGAACATTGCACCAGCTGGCCTTTTTAGCTGACCTATGATGGAGCTTGTGTGTGCTTGACCTAAAGTCTGAAATCTGGGTAATTCTAAATTTAAAGCTAATGCTGTTAAAGATGCTGTTAAGTATTTTTAAGTCACCTGCTTTGTTCATTTTGCCTTCTCCTGTCTCATTAAGTCCTCCACAACCAAATCATCCCTCTTTTAAATACTGTCTTGTTTTCTCTGTCTTCTTTATCTCCACAAGTAGTTTGGGTTAAAATGTCAAAATTATGGAACAAAATTGCTTTAAAAGACAAATAAGTTCCTAAAAATGTCCATACCATTTCCAGTTAAGAGTTATGTTTTGAGCTATGCATGTCCAGGACTTAATTACTAACCTGAAGCTGAGTGTTACCAGCATGCTGTACCGAAAAGCAGTCAGATATGCAGGTGCATTGTGCAGGTGGCGGCTGGGAGTGTTTGACTCCGACAGATGTTTCTGGTGTGGAACAATAGAAGGAAGAAAAGAATCACCTGAGGCAGCAAAGTGGGGTTTGACTGCCAAACATAGACACACAACACTCCTACCAGCTAACAGGTGTGTTGCAATACCGGCAGCCAGAAATGAAAAATGAGTAACAAAAGGAAGTGCTGCCCGTTTATCCATTCGAATCACTGTTTACAGCCTCCCACCTGTACGAGGTCACGGTGTACTGTAATTGCACAACTAACGAATGAGGGCTTTGGCTTGATCCAGTGTCAGTGAGCCGTCAAAGCAGATGGTCCAGGGGGAGATTGAATGCTCAAGCAGCTTGTCTCATGCCAAAGCCTCAAATTACTGTTCCATCCTTGCAGGTGGCCTAAATAATCAGACGCACTATCACCGTATGCACAGCTGATGGTCAAATGGACAGGAATTTGTCCACGTGGGTGTCAAAAACATATCAGGTGTAGCTTGACGTGGACAGTGAAGAGTTAGTGGTGTTGGAGTAAAGAAGTTGTATTCCAGGATTAGGTGAGGCAGTGGATAAAGTAGAGGTAGAGGTTTAGGGTTATACTGTAGAGGACAGTGTAGATATGTTTCAGTCAGACATTAAGACACATGTTTTAAACAGTGGTACATAAATATCACATGTTTCTGATCAGCAATAATGTTAACATTTTTGAGCACCAACCCTCCCTCCCATAATTCTCCTGCTCATCACTAGACATAGTCAGTTTGTTCCTTTTCTTGGTTTTTAACCGCCTTGCTTATCTTCACATAGCATTTGAATCATTTGCATGATATGAGGATTTAAAAAAAAAAAAAAAGAAGTGGCTTGAGGTATGTTAATGTAAAATTGTGACAGTACGAAGTTTCCGTTTGTGTTTTGTAATGCAAATTTATATACAGACACACTTGTTTTTACCTTTTACATGAGAGCTATATGGAGGATTATTCACTGGCTTGAACAAGAACTAATTTGTGAAAACATAAAAGATGCCCCCCTTATGAATTCCTTGCTAGTGTAGGATAAGCATCTCTTGTGAACGGACATTTTTATGAAGGGAATTTGAAGATCAAGGATGATGATGTTATAGTAAAGTTACAGTTTTTGTCCTGGGCCCATCGATTCTAAATCAACTAACAAGAATCTAACTGTTTTTGTTAAATCTAAAAAAATACTTGTCTGTATATGTTATCTAACACTCATGCTGCAGTAAAGGTGAGAGGAACGTCAAGTTTTTAAAATAAAGTTCATATTATGTATTGATCAAAATGGCTGGTGAGGGAGGATGACCTGCAGGAGCTTCTTCCTCCAACAGAGGGGGTATCTGTTTAGGGGGAAGATACCTGTTTGTAGATTTAGTTTTATATAATATATAACAAAGGAGTCCACTATTTTTGAAGTACCCTCTGAAATTGTTTGTTTAAGGCCTTCTTTTGTACATATTATATTATATTATATTATATTATATTATATTATATTATATTACATTATATTCAGGATATATGTATAAATATTTCAAAAAGAAAATAGATATTGTTCTTCGTGAGGGCTCTTTAACCTTCTCAGTGTGTCTGAATTGCTGTTTTCTTCTTTTTGTTTCATCATAAACTGATGCAGAAAATGCACAGTTTGGTGCACACATGTTCCCCAGCAGAGTTTGATGCTTACAAGTTCCTTTGGTGTGACTACCAGACCCCCGATCAGCGCATCACCCCCACAAAGTCCAAACCTACCCCCATGACTCATTCACTTTAGGGAATTACCATATTCGTCTCTCCACCCTGCAGAGCCGCCTGACAGCTTTATTAAGTGTTCAGACAAAGACATAAAAAGCTCGAAAAACCGGGATGATTTTCCCCTGCAAAATCCAACTTGAGACGCTTCTCGGGAAATCCCACAGCCTGCCTACCGGTGAAAACTCCGCTGGAAAACTCCCTGCCATTCCCTCCCAGTCGGGCGCGCACTCGAGCTGATTGCCTCACAGCCGTGCACCCGCTGTGAACGCGCAAACGACACGGGAAGCCCCGAGATGGACAGCAGAGTGGTGGACTTTCCCAAACTCCCTGCTGTGAGAGCTGACAGCCGATAACGTGAACTCTAAATGGGACAATAAACGCAGCAAGGCCGGAATAAGGAATCCAGCATGCGTGATGAATATTACGCATTGATCGTGCCATTTTTTTAAAAAACATTTTGCAATCCTGTGCGCACATTTCTTCTCCAGAGCTTTTGGAGCGTTATTGTCACAGAAATAAATGCCATGTGTAAAACGCTGTGCAGTCAGAGCCCACACAGCTGCCGCTTCCTCATACCTCACTTGTCTTCCCGCCGTGTTTATGCAGCCAACAGCCCACATGAAGGCAGAGAGAAAGCCTGGACCACACTGCCCCTGCAGGCCACTAAAATTCCTACACCATTTCTTGTAAATGCTCCACTTCTCGAGCCGGTAGCTGTTTATTCTAAAGGGCTGGTCTCATGCACATGTTTGTCATGCCAGGATGCGGGGACGAACTTTGGCACCTGCAGGATGAATGCGCGCACTCGATGACAGTTTTCGTGCACTTTTTGCACAATTTCCTGCAGATTATAACCACAACGAATATCACTGCCGTTAACTGTAGATTTTTTTTTTTTTTTTTATTGGTTCTTTAAAAAAATCAACCTCGAATGGCTTCACTGTCACATTCTGCTTTGTGTAACAGTAGAATAAAAGTTGCGATGTGTGACACGTGCAAGTATTTTTTATATTCTTCTGCAATGTCTGCACAGTGGGATTGGTAAATACTTGTTAAAAAAAAAATTAAAGATAAAAATAAGCATGAGAGTGACAGACAGGTCAGGTCATCCAGGTTTATGGTTTGTCTACGTGCATGCAGCCGCTTGGATCAGCCTCTGTTGTTATTAACTTCCTCCTTGCTCTAACCAGCGTGATTTCTCGGAAACCGGGTCCACTGCTGCAGCAGACGCGCATGCGCACTCACGCCGTGTTAAAAAAATAAACACAAGTCAATCTTATCAATTAAAATTCTAAAGTTGTAAAGCACACATGACATATATGTGCTTGTGATGCGTGAAATCTGCACATTTACCATAAAATAACTAAGAATTTATCAGCCTAACTGCAGAGATGAGACTTTGCAGGTTTTGTGGGCGTTGACTTTTCTGACAGACGAGCCTCCTGCCCAGCCCGGGGAATACCCAGAGCTAGATGGCTATATAAAAGTGCCTGGTTGCGCGACTCAGTACCCACTCGTGTTTGAGAGAGGATAACTTCCAAACGAGAAGAAGATTCTCTGGATCAAACTTCAACCAATCGGACTATTCCTGTGCATTTTCCTTTTCTTCTGGGAATCATAGCGCAAATACTCTGTAAGTGATTTGATATGTATTTATTTACTTATCTATCACTTTTACTATTTTGGAATAATCATTGGAACTATTTTACTTATCGCGACATGGATTTTTAAAAACAAACAGCTTTGCATCAAAACTCTCAAATATCTGATTCAATTTTAATTGTAGCGCACATCTCGTCAAATTTACGAACAAGAACCGATTGAATGAGAGACCTTGGAAAGCATATGTGTACGGCATGCGTGCAGCAAAGCCGAGGAAGATGCGCGCAATTTTCTCCCTGCACACAACAAAAAGTGTTTCTATAAACTTTTGGACTACTTAATGAGTCCAAATGCATTTAAGGACTTTTTTTTGTAATGACAAGCCATACAATTTCAGTCAAGAAATGTTTTTGGCAACCTCCATACATGCCGTTGACTCCTACGCGTAAACGCCCCCTCTGCCTGCGCGCCCTACTTGCCCTGACCGTGAACTCCTTTCTCAGCCTCCTGCCTCGACCAGCAGGCAGCAGTAAATCAAGGCAGAGGCAGGAGATCAGTTGCTCTCACTACTGTATGAAGCAAAACAGCAATACTCGTTTATCTAAAGCTTTTCTCTGCTGTTCCACATTTTAGGAGACCATGCCTGTTGCAAGGATGAGGATGAGGCCATGGCTGGAGACGATGATCGAGTCTAACTCCATCTCGGGTCTGAGCTGGACCGATAAGGTGAGAGACTTTTTTTCTCCCTCCCCTTCCCACTTGCAACACGTTGAAATGCTTCATGTGAATGAGATTTAGTAGAAAATAAAAAAAAAAAAAAAGCTCAGGAATAGACACCTTCAAATATATTTGTTGTAGGATTTGAAGACTTTTGGGGGTAAGAGAGGGAAGTGATCTTTCCGAGGCTGCATGATCTTTAGTTATTCACACAAAATTTGCATGTTACTCTCAGAGTAGGTTGTTTGAAGCACCGGTTGGGGTGGGGTTTTTGTATTGTACAGTTAAACATTTGGCAACTGTGGCAGCCTTTTGTACAAGTCCTGGCACTTCAAACAGGTGAAAGTAGACATGAAGTGGTAGTTGTAAAGTAAAGTTTGGCCGTTACCTCACATTTATTCTATCAATCCTTTATCTGCACATGGCCAAACTTGCCAAAGAAAAAATAAAAATCTTATCCTAACATAGAAAAACTGACAACAACTGTGCTATGCTCATAATATTTTAATGTAACTGTAACGTCTTGCAACAGACAACTGTTAACAGCAGCACATGAGATGAATGGCTGCCTCTTGCACTATTTCAGTTTATTCTGTTTGCTTAAGTTATAACAACTCAGTATTTCTTTTGTTTTTTTTTCCCCAGGATAAGACGATGTTTTCAATTCCCTGGAAACACGCAGCTCGGCACGGCTGGGAGCTTGACAAGGACGCGTGTCTGTTCAAGAAATGGGCCATCCACACAGGTGAGCACAGACTGAATATGCATGTTAAGTTAATACGCATGTTTTTCTTTAAGGATGACAAATGTACTAAACTATTGCGTGCAATTGCATTCTGCAGGGAAATATGTCGAAGGCCAGACTTGTGACCCCAAGACATGGAAAGCCAACTTCCGCTGTGCAATGAACTCCCTGCCTGACATTGAGGAGGTGAAAGACAAGAGTGTCAACAAAGGTCACCAAGCCGTGCGCGTCTTCAGGATGCTGCCTTCAACACCGAAATCTAGAGGTGAGAAGACTGACAGGAAGCGAGGAGCAGTTCTCTTCGGTGTGAAGTGACTTTGCTGTGCAATGGCTGCTGACTTTTTTTTTTTTTTTAACTTTTTATTCTACTTATGAAGTCAGTTTGTTCTGCAGCCACACTGTGAGCTGTTGTTTAGGATGGCATGTGACCAAAAATGTTTTTCTCTCCTCTGCGCAGCCAAACGAAGCAAAGTGAGAGACACAAAGACAAGGAGGAAGGTAAATATTGTCGATATTGTACTGCATCTGTAGTGGCGCTTGTTTTTACATAGTCAAATTAGGGCACTCACATTGACCTAGATAGCAGGAAAATAGACATACAACTGCAACTTTCTCGGTTTTCACGTCCTAAATCTTACTGAATTTCAAACTGTTTTTGTCTCTGCAGAGCTCGGTGGTGAAGGAGGAAGACACAGACTACAGTGACACTCAGTCTCCCATTGCAGCATCAGCACAAGAGGACTCGTTCACTCAAGAAAACACAGTCGACAGCACAGTGAAGACTGAAAAGCAAGGTGAGGGAGAAAAACTCTAAAAATACAAAATGCTTTGTCTTGTTGTGATTTTGCAAAGCAAGAAACTACGTTTTCTAGATGTTAAGTTAAAGGATACTTACTTACTTCATGTTATTGTTTGCTGCTGTTGCAGATTTGCCCTTTGTTTCTCCATCTGAAGTTCCCGATTGGTCTTTGTCAGTTGAAATCGGCTCTGAGAACTGCGCGAACAACTTCTACCACAGATTTGAAGTTTCGCCTGAGCACAGCACTGGTAAGACAGCAACACCTATCTCACACTTGTTGATATTTTCGTTTTTTTTTTTTTAAGGATAATAAAAGTGAACTCAAGCATGTCACTCATATCCCATTTTCTTTCTCTCTCCCTCTCCTTGCTGTGATCTTCCAGATTACGAGGATATTATTCAGGTAAGCATCAAACTTCAGTTCCTACTCTTGCTAGCATGCATTTTTCATTGACAGGAATACCCATGTTTGTCTTATTCTGCCTGTTTGGCTTGTGTAATAATACCCCAAAAAAGTAAAAAATACTAATTGTTAGAACTGTTTAGTGTGTGAAAACTCAAGATGGGGAAAAAATATAGCCATACTAAGTCCAGTGTTGCTCTTTCAGATTTGCCAGCAACTGGAGGACGATTCACAGTGGCAACTAAACAGTACAGGCAGCACGGGGTTCCTGAGCAATGAAGCATGCACCAGTCCAGGAAGCCTCTGGAGTGACTCTTCCTCAGGTAAATGCTGCTAATCGATGGGTCAGATGGATGAGCAGATTCAGCTGCATGCTTGTTGGTAATTTAGGTGTAAATATGTTTCCGAGAGGTTTCATCCACGCAAAGCACACTTTTTCTAGTTGGCATCAATCAGCCTATAACACTAACCACGTGTGGTTGGGTTTTGCAAGCAGCTGCAGATGAAATTAGCAGTCTCAGTCGACCACATCCCCTAATGTATATTCTTTTTCTCTTGTTTGCTTTGCAGCCGACGAACTAGAAAGCAATCTACAGTACACAACTTTGGGCTCAGACTTCCCCACAGATGCCATCTGGGACAACTTTCGGACCACTCTCGGGCGCTGAGATTTCCAGCACAGGACAGGACAGTGACTTTACAAACTGTGGACTTTTAACAGAGACCTTCTTGGACCCCCCCCCCCCTTCCCCCGTCCCCCGTCCACTTGAGCCCTCATCTCAGTTGAAACACTCATCATCATCCTTCCTCCACACATTAAGCTAAAACCCGTCCCCCAGAGCTTGTGCTGTCTGCTCGGGGCTTGGCTCACCTCCCCCTTATGTGAAGTTGCGAAAAGAAGTTATGAAGACCTGCTTTGCTGTGTAACAGGCATTCGCATTCTGTTCATTATTTGTGTTTTTGGCAGGTTCAAAGCATTTTAGTGTACAGTTTTTTGTTTGTTTTTTTTTTTTACGTTGTTGTACTTGGACAGGGCATTACATGATCATTACAATGTACCACATAGCCATTAATAATGAGGTAGCCAAAACTTACCTTAAAGTTCAAAGAGGGGAGATCACGTTTGGTGAGTGTGAATTGTGTTTTGCCTTCCGTTATAAGTGGACTTCAGCTAAAGAGTTGGAAAAGTGCTGAAAGCAAGTGTAAAAATTTTTCTGTACATAGTTGTTTTTGTCTGTGTTTTTTTATAAAATAATAAAAAAAATAATTGTTTAAAAAAAAGTGAATGAATGTGGAGTCTTACATTTATGCATGAAGATGACTGTCTTTAAGTGCCCTGCTATAAATTAATCAGTGATATTAGCAGATGTTGGCAAGGATAAGCTCTGCTAAAGTCCAATGCACTAAACTTAAAGTAGCTTTAGCAGCACTGGAATGTAAGAATAATTGCAAAAGAAAAAAAAAAAAAGAAAGAAAGAAAAGTCATATTATTTTGGTCTAAATCTGAATGATATAAATTATCATTTAAATTCTTATTAAATCCAAGACCAGCTTTAAAAGCTAAAATACACTTAGGATTATGTTAATCCTATTAATATATATAATTTTTAAAATCACTATAGCATACAGGTTAAACCAACTATTTCAAAACAAGCTTAATAGTAAATAGTTGAATCAGCTGTTGTTTTCTTCTCTTCCCCATCTGGGGTTCCCCTATAATGCCCATAGGTTTTAAGGAAATAATGACATTGCACAACACACTGCCATGCATGTTGCTAACAATCAGCACGGATAACAAAAAATAGCATTGCAACGAGTGTAGAGGAGTTTATTTTGAATAAATATGTCCACATATTTTTGCCTCCTTCGCAGCGACCCTCTACTCTCACAGGATGCAGAGATGAAATTGCTTTCTGTCATCTTGGGAAACTTTTGGTTAGTTGATTTTTCGGAGGAAAATGTGAGAACAACCGTGCTGTTCAGACAAAGATACTATTTGAAAGACTTGAAGGAGTTGCTGTGTTGGACTTTTTGTAGGTGCACTTCACACGGTATATGTTGCTGTGTTAAATAAGGGCAGTTGAGTGTTTTGAGGGGAAACCAAACAATTTCCTGTCAAATTTTCAGGGTAGGTAAAAATATTTAGAGATGACTTGAACATTTGGATACTTCATCCCACTGCATATACTTTTTTTGGTTGTTTGTTTTTACATTTCTGACCTTTTTTTAAAATGTGTAATTGTTTACATGCACATGCTCTTGTGTGAGTGTGTAATATTGATTATTTCCTTGAAGTTCTTGACTTCAGTGTGACAACCTGATTTGGTCATACCGTATAGGAAATAAAACATAAATGTGACCCAGCATACGACTGAGCAGTGCAGACAATATCCTCTATTAGGCATCATATTCAGTGTGTTGAGACATTTCTCTCTAAATAAATAGATAATAAAAAGTCATGTTGCCTTTTTTTGGGTGAACTCGTCTGTAAAGCGTGTACCTACATTGCAAAGGAAGAAATAAATATTCCTCCCTTACATACAACTACTTCCTAGAAAATAACGTGATTATTTAGTGTTGGTTAAAAGCAGTGTTAAAGACACACACCGCAGGATGATGGCGGTGGAAACATCTGAACATGACGTGACATGCATTGTGTATTTCACGAGACAAATACGTGCACTAACTTAAGCGCTAGTTCTTTCGATGTTAGATGTTTGTTTTACGCCCTGGCCTTGGGGTTGGTTTCACATGAACACAGAGTCCCCTCTTCTCAGCTCCCAGAACTCCCTTTATGTTACTAAAAATTCCAGAAAACTTCCCACAAAAAAATCTAAACCTCAGTGCATCATGGGGAGTACTTTTACTTTTGAGACTTCAAGTTTGTTTAACCACTTATGAAATACAGTACTTTTTTACAGTGCAGTGCAGTTGATTTTAATACTGGAGTGGGCTGTTCGTTTAAGACAAGCTTGTACAAAAATGACAAAAACAACCCCCAAAAAATAAAATAAAATAAGCTATTGAACTTGAGTATTAAAGATAGGAAAAAAAGGCATTTGAAAAGTGCTTCAGTGGGAGAAATGAAACGCAGCAGTCTGGAAAACGTTTTGGAGAAACACTTAAAACACCTGCAGCTTTTCTTGACACTAATGATATGATAAAGAATAATAAACCATCCAACCAGTTCAACAGATAAAATAAATGCACTTTATTGTGAAATACGTAGAGACACTATAACATATGGATAGTAGCAGGACATGATATCCCTCCAAGGTGCAAACTGACTAGGGGATGAACAAATCAATCAGTAACTAATCAAACGGATGTCCGCTTAATACAACATTACTGTAAAACATTTAACATGGCAGCTACTCATAAAAAGCCCCATTTGCTCACTTTACGATATCTTAGTTCATGATTTTACAATGAGTATGAAGGCCTGTAAAAATATATGGTCAGCAATGGTTGCGTGAACACATATTCTCAGTATTCCTAAATAAAAAGTTATATTATGAAGATACACATTACTGGCAGTGTATGAACTCATCTTCTGTGGTTGGCAAACCAGAGACTAGGCATACTGGATAAATACAACAAAAAACAGATGTGAAACAGTGTATAAGTACAAACTACAGACTTCATTTTACTGGATGTCCATACATTCAGTTGAAACCAGAAGTTTACATACACTGTACAAAAAGATATGAAACCTTATTTTTTCTCTCACTGTTTGACATTAAATTAGACTAAACTTTTAGTTCTAGGTCAGTTAGGATTTGCTAAATGCCAGAATAATGAGAGAGAGAATTTTTTTTTAGAGTTTTTTTTAAAAGATTTTTTTTACTTTCTTCAAAGTCAGAAGTTTACATACACTAAGACTACTGTGCCTTCAAACTATTTGGGGAAGCCCAGATGGTGATGTCATGGCTTTGTAAGCTGTTGATTGGTTAACTGACAACATTTGAGGTAATTGGAGGCACACCTGTGGATGTATTTTAGGGCGCACCTCAAACACACTGCTTCATTTTGTGACAACATGGAAAATCTAAAGAAATCAGCCAAGACATCAGGAGGAGAATTGTGGATCTCCACAAGTCTGGTTCATTCTTGGTACAATTCCCAGATGTGTGAATTGTCCACTTTCATCTGTTCAAACAATGAAACACAAGTATAAACACCATGGGAATGTCGAGTCATCACATCGCTCAGGAAGGAGACGGGTTCTGTGTCCCAAAGATTAAGTATTTTGGTGCAAATGTGTGTATCAACCCCAGAACAAAGAAAAGACTAAGAGAAAAAAAAGATCTAAGAGAGTGTCATTATCCACAGTGAAACGAGTCCTGTACCGACATGGGCTGAAAGACTACTCAGAGAGGAAGAAGACATTACTCCAGAAGCAACATAAAAAAGCCAGATTACATTTTGAAAATGCACACGGGGACAAAGACCTTTCTTTTTGGACATATGTCCTGTGGTCTGATGAAACAAAAACGCAACTGTTTGACCATAATGACCATCGTTACATTTGGAGGAAAAAGGAGGAAGCTTGCAAGCCTGAGATCACCATCCCAACTGTGAAGCACGGGGGTGGCAGCATCATGTTGTGGGGGTGTTTTTCTGCAGGAGGGAATGATGCACTTCACAAAATAGATGGCATCATGAGGAAAGAACATTATGTAGAAATATTGAAGCAACATCTCAAGATATCAGCCAGGAAGTTAAAGCTTGGGCACAAATGGGTCTTCCAGATGGACAATGATCCTAAGCATACCGCCAGATTAGTTACAAAGTGGCTTCAGGACAACAAAGTCAATGTTTTGGAGTGGCCATCACAAAGCCCTGATCTCAATCCTGTAGAAAATTTGTGGGCAGAGTTGAAAAGGTGTGTCCAAAACATTTGACCCAAGTCACATAGTTTAAAGACAATGCTATCTAAAACTAAGGAAATGTCTGTAAACTTCTGACTTTGAAGAAAGTAATAAAAGATTCTTTAAAAATTTCTCTCTCGTTATTCTGGCATTTAGCAAATAGAAATAATTTTGCAATCCTGAGTGATCTAAAAAAGGAAAAGTTTCATCTGACTTAATGTCAGACAGCGAGAAAAAAAGTGTTATGTGTCTTTTTATACATAAAAACTTCTGCTTTGAACTGTATATACGCTATTTTTTTGCTGAATGTACAGCATACTTGCTTAACTCCCACAGTCTGTCTCTGTCTCAGTTTCAGACATAGTTCCTTTACCGACAGACAACCGTAACCATCGCACTCTGGTTCCTCCTGGTCTGCAGAGCTGAAGAGCACCAGGGTGATGTTTAATCCTCTGCAGATTGTGTTCCTTTCAAAGAAAAAAAGGGAGAAAGGGAGGGAGGGAGGGAGAGAGTTTATGATTAAACACATTTCTGCTTCGTCATACAGCAAACTTTCAAATTTGTGGTGCACATTTTCAGAGCCCTGAGGATGCTACACAAGACATATTCCCTGTTACTTTACATACATAAGAGTCATGTTAAGCTGTGCAGATTCAAGAAAGTGCAACAAGTGTGAATCTGGCAAGTTTTGGGAAGACTGCAAGGAGATTTAAAACAACAGACCAAATATACACAGTAAAGGAAAGATAAACAGTGGAATTTTGTTTGATCTACGTTGATCCAAGGTAAACAGAGTATGAAATTAGAAATGGAAGCACAACAAATCTGAGAACAAATTTTTGTTGTTGTTGCATTTAGTTGCTTAATACAGTAAAATCAGTACCAGCAGAAGCCACAAAAAGAAAATAATGGCACCCACTTAATGCCAACATAAACTGTACCAGCAGTCAGAGGTCAAAGATCTAACTTTCTTGTTTTGCGTTTATAACTATTCCTCTCCAATAATCCAGCCAGTGTGCTTTCCCTCGGCTATCCTGTTTACATGGTTGTCATAACGTGTCTACACTTGACTTTTCTGTGATTCTTGTCACTTCCTCGGTGCATTTACATGCACTGGTGCATGTCATTAACTTTGTGTCCTCTCTGCACTATATCTTACGCTTTGTCCTCTTTCTGTCTTTACCTCTCTGCAGGTATTTCTTGCTCTGGAGCTTCTAACCTGTGTCTTCTGCTTCCATTAATCTGTTCGGTGTTTCTCTTACTTGTTGTTTGCCTCCCTCCCGTCTGTTGGGACTACTTTCCCTATTAACTGCCTCGAGCAAAGGGCGATAATACATGGAAGAGCACCTACATTGCGGCTGGTCTACGGAGCATGAGCCGGCAGGCTAAACTGCAAACGCAATGAGATATCATATAACCAGTTAATCACACATTACATTATTCCAAGGTTTAAACCCTTTTTACTCAGGCTTCCTGCCTCAAAACACATCCAACTGTGACTCCCTTGTTCTTTGCAAATACAGCAGCAGTTGGGAAGAATTTTACTTGGATTTATTTTTAAATCATTACCCTAAAACTACAACATTGTAAACTGACAAGTTGATCTGAGCGTGTGATTTAATTTCATGGAATTTATACACACAGATAAACATCTAGCAAGTTGATTCGAGTGTGGATGGAAAGTGATAAATTCTTTTGAAGCCAAGAAACATGAAAAAAGGAAAAACATAATGATTCCCCGTTTCATAGCTACATATTATTACATTACAGAAACTTTGTTTTTTCACCCCTCAGAACTGTCATCAAATTTTTGACCATTTACAAACAGTAAATTATAATTAAATAATTTGCTAATATATAAATATAAATAAATTCAGACACAACTAAAGACACAATCATCCTGTAAAGCGTCTTTGGAATTTTTACAAGAAAATAATTTTTTGGGGGGTTATCATCAAAACAACAACAACAAAAAAAATGATGTTGAAATATTTCAAATAAATAACAGTTAAGGCTTCTGTATAGTGACACAATAAATTTGTTTTCAGGATTTTTAAAATATACACGATAATGTGTGTATAAATACAGATTGTCGTAAAGCTTGAATCAACAGGTTTCTTCACTCGTCATACACTCAAAGTTGCGTTTTGCAGATTTAGCAAGAATGTAAACAACAATATGCAAAGTTCAAATCAATTTAGTTAATATCAACCATTAAAAAATAAATGCCAACAAAAAATAACACATTTCAGAGTAAAAGGATTTTAAAAAGAAAAAAAAAGCAGAGAAGGACAGACTACATTCTCTATATTAATCTTAACTTGATCTTGAGGTGACTTGCTTTGGGTGTGTGTGTGTAGTTTGTTTTTTTTGTGTGAAGCCTAAATTAAGACTTGTGAAATGTAATCCCCTTAAAACTTCACAGACGACAAATAAGTGCTCTTGAAAAGGCTGTGTGCTCGTGGAAAACACCAGTGAATCATCAGGAGGGAATTCTCAATAATTTTCAGTTTATTTCCTGAATCCCACAAAGACGATGCTCTTCTGATTCAGTTGGCTGTATTACTGGTTTTCTTTGTGTGTGCGTTCTCTTTTTCTTTATCCCTTTCACTGTATAGAAAAGGTATAAATCTGCCACGCCAGCGTAATCAGTCATGCAAAGTTCAGGGAAGGAGGAAGTAGAAAATGCCTCCTTTAACTGCCAAGGACGGTTTTCAATCCAAAGCGTTGACACACTTAACTAAAGCCCAATTTAGAGAAATAAGAAAGAAGAATGTGGCAGCACACTCAGCCTAAACCATATCTTACCTCTTTTATTCCTACTTGTATGCTAGTTGGGAGGCTAATTCGCACATTTACTGCAGTAGTGGGTATTTATGGGAGCAGTTCGAGTTGGATGTAAAATAAATGACAGTGTGTGTGTAAATGGAAATGAAGGAACGTGCAAAACACTGCAGCATTGTGGCTCCCTGATGTGTTTTCAATTGTTGTTTTTTTTTTTTTTTTTTTCAACAATGGAACAAAGTGGAACAAACTTCCTACATAGAAAATGATCAGTTAGCGTTTTTCCTTAACCCGTCTGAACCTTAGGTTTGAAAGGCATGTTATCTTTAAAAAACAAACAAAAAAACCCACCTAATTTATCAGAGCCAGAAACTGTAAAAGCGGAAAGAATTGCCAGATTTTCAACTTTCAGGCAGACTTTAAAAGAAACATGTGTGATGTGTAGTTTTGTTGAGGCAATTAACCAAATCTACACTTAAAATCATCATTATAATAATATTTAATTTAAAAAAAAAACAACCTTTATTGTACATGTCTTATTTAAAAAAATAGGTCGCTATTGAAAATGAGAACCAATGCTCAATCAACTTACCTGGTAAAGAAAAGGTAAAATTAAAAAAAAAAAAAAAAAAAAAAAATCAAGTTTGCTCTACTCTGATTCTGTAAAAAAAAAAAAAAAAGTAAAAAATTTTTTGATTCTTACGCAACAGAAAAGCCATGACTGACACATGACAATAAATCACAGACTATTTAGCTGAACTGGATTGAGCTGTAGGCAGTGTTTACACAGAGTAGATAGGACAAAAATACAAAAACAAGTAATGACAGTAATATCTGTAGTATGTGGAGTCAAAATCTGTGGGTAGTTGGGAAAATCGTGGACATATTTTTAATTTATTTATTTATTTATTTTTTTTACAATTTTTTGTGAAATAATCAAAGATTAACTCTCTCTCTCTCTTTTTTTAAAAAAAAATATTTATTTAAAAAAAAAAAAAAAAAGATTTATGGCAGTACAACTGTAGTATAATTGCACAGAAGACATGTTCACGTTCTCTATACTTCTAGTCATGGCTGTGCCGTTTCCATAGAGGCACAGAAATGTACAATGCAGTCAAAAATGAGTCCACAGTAAGTGAAAACGCCCAGAAACTGATATATTGGATAATGCTACAGAAGCCTTATACTGCCTGGTGTGACACTCACAAGCCCATTGTACAAGACTGTTCTCCTTATATGGACGAGCTAAGATGGCAGCTAGCACCTCACATGCAAAAACCACAATCGAGCGCAGCGACGTGGGGTGGAGGGGGGAGCATTAGCGAGTGTGTATGATAATGTATTTGGTGAATCAAAGGGAGAGAAGTCTGGTGCTTTCCACCTGGCGAGTGAAAACATTTTACTTGACTTGTGCTAATGTAAACGACACCCCAGCCTCAGTCAGGAGATCAGCCCGAGCTGGTTGTTTTTTTTTTTTTTTTTATTAGTTGTGAAATGACAGAATTGTACATGCGACGCTACTTCCCTTCACACATACACACCGCAGCAACCAGCAGGGTAAAACTCGAGGCGGCTCGGTATTTCCCTAAGTTTTTCTCTCTCGTGATGCTGACTGATAACTCAGCCCTGTTACTAGGACGGTAACTGCAACTGCACTGCAATAAGGGATGTTGTGTCAAAACTCCATGATTTTCAACAAAAACTACACAGTGTGTTGTTTAGCAAAGTCACTGTGGGAAAATTTTCATTCAAAGTCTTCCTGAATTTTACACGATGTCACATGAGCACTGCTGCTGCTGTCCAATGTGTTTGATGGCCTGCATGAAACCTAAATAGTGGTTGTAAATGGACAACAAACAAGCCAGTATGTGTATGTTTGTGGGTATGTCATCTTGCAACAACAGGTTATTTTATTTGACACTTGTTTATATTAAAAACAATGTATTTGGTGTCGAGTGACTGCTTTAATCTCATTTATTATATACTTTTATTATAAATATTACACGTTTCATTTCATTATATAACTGCGGTTACACCTTAAAAAGATCACTGCCAATTTTACAAGTCAGTCAGTTAAACTAGTAACAGGTTAAATTATATTTATACACAACTAATATACAACAGCAGGCGTATTGTAAACCACAATACGTTTTTTATCAACACAATGGGAACGTATGCTAATTAATGGTGGTTTGCCAACATATTTTATTAATTTTTCACCATAATATCCATGTTAATAATATAATAACTGGTTATAGCTTCTAAAATATGGTTAATTTTCTTTTGTGGTTATGTTAACACACTCAAATTACTTGGTTAAGGTTAGAGAGAGATCACAGTCTGGTTAAACACAGAAAGAATTTAGCATTATTATTATTATTATTTATGAACATTTAGCTGCAATCGTTCAACCCTTAAAGTTGCCTCAAAAGTCAAGTCGGAAAAAAGAAATGGCTCAAGTGTATCTAAAATTCTTGTCCTTAACCAGAAATCTTTAACAGAAATGCTAAATGGCAAACTTGGTAAAGAGAAGGTACTTGAATTGGCCAATTTGTCACTTCAAACCTGGTAGTAAATTCTATAAACTTCACTGTATTGTTGCAAAATAGCCTTTTTTTTAATGTTTGCATATAAACTGACTTAACTGAGAACATAAAGGGTCGTACGCATCTAAAGTTGGAAC